CCTATCCATCCATCTCCCCATCCATCCATCCATCCATGTATCTCCCCATCCATCCATCCCCTGTCTGTCTGTCCGTCCGTCCATCCGTCCATCCATCTCCCCATCCATCCATCCATCCATCCATCCATCCATCCATGTATCTCCCTATCCATCCATCTCCCCATCCATCCATCCATCCATCCATCCATCCATTCATCCATGTATCTCCCCATCCACCCATCCCCTGTCTGTCTGTCCGTCCGTCCATCCATCCATCCATCCATCTCCCCATCCATCCATCCATCCATCCATCCATCCATCCATCCATCCATCCATCCATCCATGTATCTCCCTATCCATCCATCCATCCATCCATCCATCCATCTACCTATTCGTCCATCCATCCATCTATCTATCTACCTATTAATCCATCCTTCCATCTCCCTATCTATCCACCCACCCACCCACCCATCCATCTATCTCCCCATCCATCCATCTCCCTATCTACCTATCTATATCTGAGTTGGATTGGATGACCCTAATGGTCTCTTCCAAATCTATGGTTCGATCGATCGGTCTGTCTATCTTTCTATCTATCTGGCTATCTATCTATCTATCTATCTATCTATCTATCTATCTATCTATCCATCTATCAATCCCTTACCGTGCGATGGCAAAAAGGGCGGTCAAGAGCGGGATGAGTTTGAGTCCTTCCTGGGGCAGGTAAGTGGAGAGGACGGCGATGTTGAAGAAGTAGAGGATGAAGAGGTGGACCGACTGGGAGACGTAGTGCCGGTGGATCTCCACCTCCCTGCGCAGCTCCCCAAAGGGCTGGAGGGAGGAGAAGCAGAGGCGGGAAACCCCGTAGACAATCATGCCTGCAAGACGGAAAGGGGCGTGTTCCTGAACGACACTCTACGGAAACATATAGCACACGATTCCAGGGTAAACAACCATGGCTGTCTTGAGTAGTGTCCTGGGATCCCCAATTGCAGCTAGAGCTCTTCTAAGAGCTCGGTCTAATGGAGTTGGATGGTCCTTATGGTCTCTTCCAAGTCTAGGGTTCTATCTGTCTGGCTGGCCATCCATCTGTCCGTCCGTCCATCCATCTGTCTATCTGAGTTGGACTGGATGGTCCTTATGGTCTCTTCTAAGTCTATGGTTCTATCTATCTATCTATCTATCTATCTATCTATCTATCTATCTACCTACCTACCTACCTACCTACCTACCTACCTACCTATCTGGCTGTCAGTCCATCTGTCCATCCGTCTATCTGAGTTGGACTGGATGGCCCTTGTGGCCTATGGTTCTATCCATTCATCCATCCATCCATCCATCTATCTGTTTGACTGTCCGTCTGTCCGTCCGTCCATCCATCTATCTGAGTTGGACTGGATGGTCCTTATGGTCTCTTCCAAGCCTATGGTTCTATCTATCTGGCTGGCCGTCCATCCGTCCATCCATCTGTCTATCTGAGTTGGACTGGATGGTCCTTATGGTCTCTTCTAAGTCTAGGGTTCTATCTATCTATCTAACTATCTAACTATCTATCTGGCTGTCAGTCCATCCGTCCATCCATCTGTCAATCTGAGTTGGACTGGATGGTCCTTATGGTCTATGGTTCTATCCATCCATCCATCCATCCATCCATCCATCCATCCATCCATCCATCCATCTATCTATCTATCTATCTATCTATCTATCTATCTGTTTGGCTGTCCGTCTGTCCGTCCATCCATCTGTCTATCTCTATCTGAGTTGGACTGGATGGTCCTTATGGTCTCTTCCAAGCCTATGGTTCTATCTATCTGGCTGGCCGTCCATCCATCCATCCATCTGTCTATCTGAGCTGGACTGGATGGTCCTCATGGTCTCTTCTAAGTCTATGGTTCTATTTATCTGGCTGGCCGTCCATCAGTCCATCCATCCATCTATCTGTCTGAGTTGGACTGGATGGTCCTTATGGTCTCTTCTATCTATCTATCTATCTACCTACCCTATCTATCTATCTATCTATCTATCTATCTATCTATCTGGCTGTCAGTCCATCCGTCCACCCACCTGTCTATCTGAGTTGGACTGGATGGTCCTTATGGTCTATGGTTCTATCTATCCATTCATCCATCCATCTATCTATCTGTTTGGCTGTCCATCTTTCTGTCCATCCATCTGTCTATCTCTATCTGAGTTGGACTGGATGGTCCTTATGGTCTATGGTTCTATCCATCCATCCATCCATCCATCCATCCATCCATCCATCCATCCATCCATCTGGTTGGCTGTCCATCTGTCTGTCCATCCATCTGTCTATCTCTATCTGAGTTGGACTGGATGGTCCTTATGGTGTCTTCCAAGTCTATGGTTCTATCTATCTATCTGGCTGTCCATTCGTCTGTCCATCCATCTGTCTGAGTTGGACTGGATGGTCCTTATGGTGTCTTCTAAGTCTGATTCTATCTATCCATCCTTCCTATCTATCTATCTATCTATCTATCTATCTATCTATCTATCTATCTATCATCATCATCCTTCTAGCCACCTGTCTGTCTGTCTGTCTGTCTGTCTGTCTGTCTGTCTATCTACCTACCTACCTACCTACCTACCTACCTACCTACCTACCTATCTATCTGGCTGTCAGTCCATCCGTCCATCCATCTGTCTATCTGAGTTGGACTGGATGGTCCTTATGGTCTATTGTTCTGTCTATCTATCTATCTATCTATCTATCTATCTATCTATCTATCATCATCATCATCCTTCTAGCCACCTGTCTGTCTGTCTATCTATCTATCTATCTATCTATCTATCTATCTATCTATCTATCTATCTATCTATCTATCTATCTCTCCATCTCTCTATTTTGCTCCCTCCATCCATCCATCCTACCTATCTACCTACTGTATCTATCTAACAGTCTGATGGGACTGGCTGGCCCTTGGGTTCTCCTCCCACTCTATGATCCCGCAATTCCCGGCCACCCCGCTGTGCTCACCTACAACGATGGGGAAGGTGGCGAACACCCCGCACCGAAGGGCGTAGACCAGGCGGGTTCCCATGGTGGGCATCAGCGGCACATCGAAGGGCAGGAAGACGTAGGCGCCGTAGAGGAGGCAAGGGAAGATGACGGTGGCGGCCAGCATGGAGGCCACAGCCTTGAGGTTGGCAGAGCTGCAGGTCCCGTTCCGGAAGCAGGGCCAGCGGTCAGCGCAGGCCTTGGGCTCCCTGATGTCGCCCGGGAGGTCATCGAAGTGGGCCGAATAGCCATGGGAGACAAAGTTCTGCCTCTCGGGGTCCACTCTGCCTCCCTCACGGGGGGCTCTCTGCTCCTCAAAGTCCCTCCCGGTCTTCTCGTGTCCCGTCGTGGTGCGTTCAATGCAATAGGGATCGATGGGGACAAAGACGTGAGCGGCCGCTTCTGGCATTGCGTTGGCCTCCTCTTCCTCCTCTTCTTCTCCCTCTTCCTCTTCCTTCTCCAAAGAGGCTTTGGAGAAGGCTTCCTCGTCCCCCGACGGGACCACGACGGCCTCTTCGTGGCTTCCTTCGGGATTGGGTCTGCTGTCTCTCCCCGAATCGTCGCAACTCGAAGCTTTGCAGTCCTGACCCCATAACAACGTGGCATCGCCATCCGACACGGGGTCCTTCGGGGTCGGCTTAGTCCCGAAAACGGCCATCGCCACTTCCTCCGGAGGAGGCGCGACGGCGGCCATTGTGACCTCCCAAACTTTCAGAACTTTCTGAACTTTCCAAACTTTCTGTATTTTCCAAATTCCGAATTTTCTGAATTTTCTGAACTTTCCAAACTTTCTGAATTTTCTGAACTGTCCGAACTTTCCGAACTTTCCAAACTCTGAATTTTCCAACTTTCTGAATTTTCTGAACTTTCTGTATTTTCCAAATTCCGAATTTTCTTAACTTTCTCAACTCTGAATTTTTCAAACTCCGAATTTTCCGAACTTTTTCAACTTTCCGAACTTTCCGAACTTTCCAAACTTTCCGAACTTTCTCAACTTTCGGAACTTTCCAAACTTTCTGAATTTTTTGAACTTTCCAAACTTTCCGAACTTTCCGAACTTTCTGAACTTTCCAAACTTTCCAAACTTTCTGAACTTTCCAAACTTTCTGAATTTTCCAAACTCTGACTTTTCTGAACTTTCCAAACTTTCCGAACTTTCCAAACTTTCCAAATTTTCCAACTTTCTGAACTTTCTGAACTTTCCGAATTTTCCAACTTTCTGAATTTTCCAAACTGGCTGAACTTTCTAAACTTTCAAAACTTTCCGAACTTTCTCAACTTTCTCAACTTTTTGAATTTTTCAAACTCCAAATTTTTCGAACTTTCTCAACTTTCCCAACTTTCCAAACTTTCTGAATTTTCCGAACTTGCCAAACTTTCCAAACTTTCTGAACTTTCCAAACTTTCTGAATTTTCCAAACTCTGACTTTTCCGAACTTTCCAAACTTTCCGAACTTTCCAAACTTTCCAAATTTTCCAACTTTCTGAACTTTCTGAACTTTCCAAATTTTCCAACTTTCTGAATTTTCTGAATTTTCCAAACTTTCAAAATTTTCCGAACTGTCTGAATTTTCTAAACTTTCAACTTTCCGAACTTTCTGAACTTTCTAAACTTTCAGAATTTTCAGAATTTTCTGAATTTTCTGAATTTTCTGAATTTTCTGAATTTTCTGAACTTTCCAAACTTTCACAATTTTCTGAATTTTCCGAACTTTCTGAACTTTCTAAACTTTCTGAATTTTCTGAACTTTCCGAACTTTCTAAACTTTTTGAACTTTCCAAACTTTCTGAAGTAACTTTTTAAGATACCCTATACATCCTGGGATGTGTAGTTTTTCGAGATCTTCACTAGCCAGGGTTCATCTTGTTTTCTCCACCTTGCTCTGTAAGAGGAAGGACGATATATTAGATCCGAGAAGGTAAACAACAATGGGTTTAGCACCAATTATGTCCGTTTCCCTTCCGTCGGCTGCGAACGGGACTCTGGACAAAACTGTACAAGGCG